GCCCCGCTCGTGCCCGCGCACACGCGTGTGCCCCCCCGGCCCCGCTCCCTCGCCCCTTTCGGGCCGCTTTTGGGACGGTGCCCAAAAACACCGGCGGGTTTGGATCGCACCGGGAGCGCCCCGGAGCGGGAGGTGTCGCGGTTTTGGGACAGCCGGGAGTGGGTTGGCTTTGGTGTGGCACCGGCCGCTGTCCCTCGGTGTCCCCTGGTGTCCCCTGGTGTCCCTGGCAGCCGATGTGGCCTCGGTGGGGCAGTGCCAGGCTTTGGATGTCGGTGCCACGGCGGCTCTCCGGGCCGTGATCCCTCTGCATCCCCTAAGTGTCACCTCAGGGTCCCTCAGTGTCCTCCCCGTGTCACCCCGTGTCACCCCAGGGTCCCTCAGTGTCCTCCCCGTGTCACCCCGTGTCACCCCAGGGTCCCTCTGCATCCTCCCCGTGTCACCCCGTGTCACCCCAGGGTCCCTCTGCATCCTCCCCGTGTCACCCCGTGTCACCCCAGGGTCCCTCTGCATCCTCTCCGTGTCACCCCGTGTCACCCTGCGGGTCCCTCTGCATCCCCGCCGTGTCCCTCGGTGTCCCCTCGTGTCCCCTCCCCTGCCCCCGGGGTGGCTCGGGTCACCGGCACCCTCCCGACGTCACCGCTGCTGTCACCAGCTGGGTGACCCTGGGGTGGGGACAGCCCTGGCACGGGTGTGACACGCAAAGGGGACAGATGTGACGAGCGCGGGTGTGACACGCGTGTTACAGGGGCACGGGTGTGACAATGCCGGGGGGGCTGGCAGCACACGCGTGTCACACGCGGCCGGGTGACACGGGGCTCCGTGTGACACGTGTGTGTGTGCGTGCTCAGGTGTGTGACACGCGCGTGTGCCAAGCGTGGGGCACGAACGAGCCGCGTGCCCGGGGCTGATGCAACCGGGGCGGGGGGAGACGCCGCCCCCCCGTGTGGGTGACACGAGTGGGTGACACGGGTGGGTGACACGCGTGGGTGACACGCGTGGGTGACACGAGCGGCACGGGGGTGGCGCGTGTGACCCCCGCACACGCGTGGCTTTGCGTGTTACGGTGCTCGGCTGAGCCCCCTCCCCGTGTCCCCCCCCGTGTCCCCCCC